CACCTCAGGCGGCCGCCTGCCGCTGGCGGTGGGAAAGAGTGTGATTTCGACCTTCGGTGCGTTTCTTCCTCATTATACTCAAGCTGATGCGCTTGAAACTATCGCGGTGCGCTATAAGACGTGGCTTGGAGGGTTGCCAGCTGGCAGGTTAACTCGGACACCGCAGTCGGTCCATTGTGTCTTGTTGTGTGACTGCCTGCGGGCTGAGAGTCAGGTTCAATGGCTCCTTCTTTATGTGGCCTCTATGGTACTCCCTGTTGGAAGCCTACCTAGCGAGACGTGCTGTTGGTATGCATGCTGAGTGTTTGTCACGCCAGCCGGCTGCGCCCTCCTGCTTTTCCGGTCTTCTTGATTTTGCTTTGAAAACCGGGTCCCGTTGTGGGAGTGTTCAGAGAGTGAAGTAGGTTCTCCGCGAGTCTGCTTCGCTGTTTTTTCCCGCAGAAGTCACCACGTTGCTTCTACTCTAAGAAGCTCGTAGTGGATATTGCCGATCTCGATGGTTGAACTGTCGATCGTGGGGTCATTGTTGATGGCTATGTTTATGGTATTGATAGTAGTAGTGGCAGTGCTAGTGGTTGTAGGTCTGGCGGCAGTGGTAGCAATAGTCTAAGAAATTGCCAAACGGCATGATGCCGCTCATAATGGGCAACTGGCAAATTTAGGATGATTTTTTGTCAAAAAAATAAGTGGCAGCAGTTTTTTGCACTTCCCTCTAGCACAAGATGCTGATGGTCGTACCGCCAGCGTACAGCTGAAAATGTGGTATACACAGGCTGAGGTTAACTTAGTGGTAAGCGCAACTCAATTGCACACATTTCTTGCAGGCGAATTTATTATCGAATGCACTGATTGTAAATCTTATTACGCTCCGTAATTGAGTTTATTGTACAGCGATTTATATACGCACCTGCAGACAGGTGTGAAGAAGGTTGGTGCTTGAGGTATATTGAGGTCGTACCGTCGTCTAAGGTCGCGGTCTCTGCTGTGGATTGCACGAAGGGTGCTGGTGGTAACAGCCTTGGACTCGCTAACCGTATAGGCACCCGTTTGTCTGTTGCAAGCACCCGCTGGCGTAGGCCCTTGGATAGGTTATCTGGTGTCCGGTATCCAACCTGAAAGGCTTCACTATTATCGACTGTGTGATTTGTATCGACAATATGTGCGAGAATAGAACTCGAGATCGATCTAGTTTCACCTTTACTTAACCAGGCCGGTATGTGTTCACGTACCCGCTTTTTCAGGCGCCTCGTTGTTCGCCGATGTACCTCGCTCCACAGGAGCAAGTGAAAGAGTAAATACACATGGATGTGGCTTTCAATGGGAGTCGGTCTTCACCTCCTATTCGTAGAAGGTGAAAGTGCATGAAGAACACGCGTATGGTTGCCACGGGGAAAGCGCTTGTGACAGCAGTCTTAAGGTTTCGTCTTCTCAGCTCGCTTGTTGCATCGTCTAAGAAAGGCAGTCTTATGAACCCGGCTTTAGTTTCTGTGGTGAAGGTAGCAGGATTTTTGGTGGATAAGCCAATGTTTCTGAGGGAGAACCCTTCTGGCTATTGATTTTCGAAAAGTGTGTTCAACAGCTGTTGGAATTCTGCACTTTAACTGCTGATCCGCGAACTAGATTTAGTTTTATACTTAGAGGGACAAAATTGTGAAAGTGGGTCTATTGTCCCGTCCAAACTTTTCTTACATGGACTGACTACGCGTGCCACGCACAAGCTGGTCCTTTATATTGTGTGAGGCTGCAGTTGGGCGAGAGATTGCGATATCACTTAGCTGAAAGTGTCTGACCCAGTTTGAGGGCCGAGTGGCTGATGTAGCGATATAAGTAGTGTTTGTACTCGGATCACTACACTCACCAGGCCAAATCCCAGGTTGGAAATTAAAAGGCGGAAGTCATCAGAAGGAGTGGTTTATGGTGTACGGAACTCCTTTGCTGTCACAGGGGCAGTGACCACGGGCGGAGCCAAGGCTAATGTCCAGTCAGGGCTGAGGGAGAATGAGACATTAGTCGCAATTGTTAAAGTAGGATTTCATAGCAGGTTCAAGTGTTGGTGTGTTGCAATTGCCCTAGGAAGTGTCACCTGCAAAGGCCCCCTGCTAAATTTGCCAGAGAGGTGGCGAGTTAAGTGACCCTCAGGAAGTCGCAACTACCCGGGCACGCGTGTGCGTGCGTTTGCGTGTGTGCGCACGTATGTGCAACTGAATATCGGTCAAGTGGTCTTCAGGTCAGCGAAAGAGAACTCGTTAAAAAGCCGGCATCCAATCGTGACTGAAATGACTTCAGAATAGAATAATCAGTTTTACAACCTTGTTCAGTGCACCTACGTATTTTACCAACGACCACCCCCTTCCCCCATTTTCGGCATTTTTTACTGGAGCCCAACCCAAATACCGTCGTTCGTGCCCTGATCTTTTGCCTTTGCGACTTGTTTAGGGGCCTAACTTCTGTACAGTAACTCATCAAAAGCAGTGTCAACAAAGGAAATGTGCGCACGTACCAATCTGATTATGCAATGGTAAAATTAAATCGATCTCGAGTTCTATTCTTGCATACCTTGTCGATGCGAATCCTCGAGTCGATACTAGTGAAACCTTTCAGGTTGGCTACCGGACACCAGCTAACATTTCCAAGGGCCTTAGCAAACGGGAGATTGCAACAGCCGAAGCAGTGGTTATACAGCTAGCGAATCCAGTACTGTGTTATCAGAAGACGTTAACACAAGCACTTTCAGTTCCGTGGCCGACTTAGACGCCGGGTGGCGATCGCACATCGCCCCCACCACCTAGTGACAGTTCTCCGCACCGTGCAAATAACAGCAATTATCATTCCATGTACCTTAGCTCTGACCAATGCCCACAAACTAACCCAAGTTCCTCCCCTCTCCCCCCTTCGCCAGCATATGAACGTCTAAATGCCGATCTCGTGCATTGGTCTTAAGGGCAAGGAACCTGAAGTCTACGCCGTCAAAAGTTTCTGCATGCTTTTCCTTTCTTCGAAAACCGATCTTTAATCTTCAACTTCTGTTTTATTCTGCGTCGATCATCACCGACCTACCTAAGTTGGTGCTCTAAATATTCTTTCTCTCTCCAACTCTTTCTCGCTCGCAGGCGACTGAGCGAATTAACAGCTATTGAAAACCAAGTCAGATGCCATCGTGAGCTGTGTGATTCGTACCGAAACCGACCCAGGTGCTCTCGTTCTATGTGTGAGTTTCAAAAAACGTAGCGAAATGTATTTGCAGGCTACAAACAACGTAGTGCATAGCAGGCGGGGGGTTGGATCGATGCAGCTCGTCAGTGCTCTTTGTCCACTACTCAATCTCCTTGGTGTTCTTCTCGACGTTCTCTAGACTTCGCACAAACTAGAGGAGGAAGCCAACAAAAACTGCATATACAGTAGACGCCGTTGATCATGCAATATTTCGACATATGCGAAAGACTTAATACTCTTTCGCTAATCGGAATTGACTCTAATTGTGATACTGATTATCGTGTAGTGTATTCTGAAGTCATTCCAGTCAGGATAGGAAGTCGGCTTTTTAACGAGCTTCGTTTCGACTCCTAGCAAAACTTATCTATTGTAAAAACTGACTACTAAAGTAGTATGCTTTTTTATCACTGATTTTGACTGCCTTTATAAATTCAAATATATTTTATGGAA